AGTAAAACTTAGTTGAATACCACCCCTTGTTTGGAGTTCTCTAATGAACGGAGGGGAATCTTGTCTTGATAACCCTAAAGTGTTTCTAATCTGTTGCTTATGGGTACTTCACAACCCTGACAAGAGTGACAGAGTTTACTTGCTAAGAATAACTTCTTTTCTTTTTAGGTCAAAGGGAAATCTAAAGAGATTTGAACTTCCTTTGGGCATCCTAAAACCAAGGGGGTGGGGAACAGAGCCCTGGCTCAGTGTGAAATAAAGAAATAAATAGTAAACTCTGTCTACGATGCCAATCAGATTAATGCAGTCCCTTTCATGTAAAATAATGGCAGGGTTCTGAACCTTGTTTTGAGGAAAGCAGATAACTGCAGATAAGATCAGAAAGCTCTGGCATTCAGTCAAAACAGGCAAGAGGGAGCTGAGCTAAGGAATGCGCTGTGCCTGGGGAAAGCACCCTACAAGCTAAACAGTTTAGGACACGCCTCTTCTCAGGGCATAAGCTTCATGGGTGGTACAGCTCACAAGCATCAGGAACTTGGGAAAGAGGCCTTGAGCCTTGCTTTTGAAATATTTTCTTTCCCCTTTCCCTTCTGCACCCCTCTTCCACTTTGCTCCATTTCCTTAGGACAGCTCTACTTACACTGAGTAGACAACAGAGCATATGTTTGAACTAATGTATTATTCACAAGTGCAACTTAATTATTTCCCCCATCATGTATTTTTTTTAAAAAAGAAAGCCTTTATATCCCTCCTCTTCCAAAAGGTTCAAGGCAGGATACCAGCATTTTAGAAACACATATGCATGCACAGTTTTAAATTAGCAACTCTTAAGGCTAAAGCAGTTATTATCGTCATCATTATTGTAGCAACTCATAATACTTAAATGTGTTTAATTCTTACCAAGCCCCCTGGAACTCAGTTTGAATACTTAAAAGTTCCGATTCTGGATATTGCATTGTAGAGTCTAAACTACAGATAGTTGATCCATGGCCTGTGGGTCACATGTAGCCCCCGATATTTTTTTTAGTGACGCCTCTAAGATCCCCCAAAATTCATAATTAAAAATTGTATATACATATACACATACATATACATGTGTACTACTCCTATGAGTCCCCTGCTGTAATGCCATAATACCAGAAATTTCAGTCACTTTCATTTGGGTTTCCAGTGGATTTTGGTTACTTGACACTTGGAATTCCAGATGTACATAGAATTTTCAGCAACCACATGCCAGAGACTTCATCACTACTTAATCCTCATAATGGGAAAGCAGCTTGGAAATTAAGAGCTTACTAAGCTTTTGAAAGGTATTTAGGCAGTTTCTCATGCAAGCAGCTATTGCCAACCATGCACAGAGGGTATGATAGGCTAAACTACATCCTGTGCTCCTGTTAAGCGGGTGTGTTTGTGTGCCTATGTGTACAAACTCCCCCTGCATTGGCCTAGATGAGTGAGATGTTGCTGAACCTTGTCCTGGACATCGTGCCATGCTTCTTTCTTCCTTATTAGAATATTTACAACATAATCAGAAATGGTAGTGACTAGCCATGTAAAATACCTTGCAATCACATGGACGCCTCAGTTAACTGGTGAACTCAGTGTGAAAAAGATGCAGAAGGTAAATTCCATGCTAGCAATTATAAGGAACGTAATAAAATTGCCAGAGTATAAGTATGGCCATTATACAGGTCTATGATCTGGCCATACTTACATTGTAAGCAAACTGCTTTGGTGGCCCCATCTCCAAAAGAATATCGTCTATCCAGAAAAGATGCCAGAAAGAGCAAGCAAAATGACCAGAGAGCAGGATTCCCTTCCTGTATAATAATATGCTAAAGTGTTAGGAATTTTTAGTTTAGAAAAAAAGGTGATGGGGTTACAGGTGGGGCTTACATATTATATATGGAGTGTAGAAAGTGATTGGATGTTTTTAAACCTCTTGTACGATACAAGCATGTTGTATCTATAGCTAGGGATCCCAACCTTTTTGAACTAGTGAGCACATTTCAAATTTTGAGTGAGTGCTGCGAGGTACCAGTCTTAAAATGGCTGCCATGGGGAGCCTGGCATAACACAAAATTAGAGAGACAACCATCTACAACACCTTTATGCTTACCATGGGAAGTCAGCTATGTCCTGCTGGTGCTTTCTCTCTCTCTCTCTCTCTCTCTCTCTCTCTCTCTCACACACACACACACACACACACACACACACACACAAACTGATGCTGTTGCTTTCTCATAACAAACAGGGGGCATTATTCAGTACCAGGAAAAATATGCACAATTCTCAATCCACAGAAATAGCTTTCTTAGACAGTATCTGCACCCTTGGTTTTTTTAAAAAAATGAAAGCTCAGAGTTTACGCACCGTGGGAAGCCTTCATGGACATCATGGCATGACATCATAGTGACCCGATTATAACATTACAAAATGAGATGGTATTGTAGAGAGGAACTGTAGTTTACCCCTCAGCGCTACAGTTCCCAGCACCCTTAAGCTACTGTTCTCAGGAGTCTTTGAGGAGAAAGCCATGTGCCTTAAATGTGTGGTGTGTTGTAACAACATATACATTAAAGCATCAATTAATAGATGCTCTAAGGCGGAGCAGAATGGGGAATCTGCAGCCATCCAGGTGTTGTTGGACTCCCATCAGCCTCAGCCAGCATGACCAATACAGTCACATCTGATCACAGCTTCCCCATCCTTGCTCTGAGGCAACACATACAGTGGCACCTCGGGTTACAGACGCCTCAGGTTACAGACGCTTCAGGTTACAGACTCCACTAACCCAGAAATATTACCTCGGGTTAAGAACTTTGCTTCAGGATGAGAACAGAAATCGTGTGGTGGCAGTGCGGCGGCAGCGGGACGCCCCATTAGCTAAAGTGGTGCTTCAATTAAGAACAGTTTCAGGTTAAGAACAGACCTGCAGAACGAATTACCGTATTTTTCGCTCTATAACACGCACCCGACCATAACACACACGTAGTTTTTAGAGGAGGAAAATCCGTAGGCATGCCACCCGTAGACATTCCCTCCATAACACGCACAGACATTTCCCCTTACTTTCTAGGAGGAAAAAAGTGAGTGTTATGGTGCAAAAAATAGGGAAAGTTCTTAACCCGAGGTACCACTGTACAGTATTGATTCATTGTGTACTCAGACCAGCCTCCTCAGAGAGGGGAATCCTTTTTAAATTTAAAGATTTTTTCCACCTAGAACCTCTTGCCCTCTTCACCTTTTTTTTGTGTCTCAGGGCAGGGTCCTGGTTTATGTCTTCTGTTTCTGCCTCCGCCTCCCCCTCCCCCTGCTGCACTCTCTCTCTCTCTCCAGACTCTGCAATTTTCCTTCACTATCAAACTTCTTCCCAATGTGACTTCTCAGAAAATATGGAAAAAGCTTGATGGTGAATTGCTTATTTTTTCTCTTTCTTTCGTTCTTTGTCTTTCTTTTAAAAATGAAAAACCAAAGGAAGTGGAATTTGTGTGCAAGATAGTTATGCATAAAGCAATTTTCCTTAACTAGTCAATAGATTTTAGCTACTGCAATCTAGTTTCACTAGAATGGACTACTGGATAGCATTAATTAAAATACAATACAGAACTGGATAACATGGATTAAATTGCTATTCCAGCTGGTATCTCTCAGACATCTTACAAATAAAACAGTGACTTAATTCAGGAGGAACTACTCCAGAGAACTATGTTTGGTCTAATTTTTCTCTTTGTGGCAAAGGATAGATATTTTCCATCACACTACTTCCCAAATATGTTCTTTGACAGCAGTTTGTGGTCTTTTGCTACTATATGGCCTTTAGTACTGCCAGAGTTTAGCTGTATATATTTAGATCAGAATATTAGCACACAGTAGCAGCACTACCACCATCAGTAGTAGACCTCTGGTCTCTCACATATATGCACAGGTAGCTGTTCTCTCCTTGCCTATGTGTGGGACAGCAGCAGCATCCTTTATGGTGGGCTCAGACAGAGAGCAAAGGAGTTGAGGCCAGTTCCAATGCCTGCAGGGCTGGGAATCAATGCCCAATACCTGCACAGAAAAGAGCCCTCCACACAACTGCTCTGACAACCACCAGCAATTTCTCAGCAGTTGCTGGGCTACATGCAATATAGCCTTGATCAACCAGGCACTCAGCCATCATCTAGGTGGTGGAGATGGAGATAACTCTTCATGTTAATGTAGGGTCATAATGTCGGGTGAGACTGATGGCTAGGACGAGTGAAAGCTCTCCCAGTGCAGCAGGCATCCATGGCACTGGGCGAGGAGCTGGGGGCAGAGACGAAAGGAAGATGTGCTACAAATAATTCCTGCCTGTTAAGCTCAGGTCACTAACATGGGATCCACGAGCACAAAGGCACATCTTGCTTCAGCCCCACTCGGCTAGCCTCAAAGACATTTGATCCAGCCAGGATGTTCTGTGCCAGATTGCTCTTACTGTGTCACATAGGGGTGACAGGGATGGTGCAGTCAGTCTGGGTCATTCTGGGAGACTGTCTCTGTGGTAGCCAACCTCAAGAGCCAAGTTCTCTCACAGCACGTCTCAAACTTATTGCAGGAGGAAGCAAGCTCAGTGTTGGTTCCAATCAGTTAGCAGCTATCTGCCAGAGCAGCCAGTCTAGTCATGGCGATCTCTGAGGCTGGAGGGCAGACCAGCCATTTGCAGGGCCAAACACAGTGCAACTGTCATAAGCCAAGAAAAGCAAGAGACATTGCTCTACAATGTACACCAGTCTCAATGTTGGGTAGCAAGAGGGGTGTGTGTACACAGGGCAGCGTCTTCCCATTTTGCTTCAGGCAGCAAAACAGGACAGGCTGCTTCTGGCTGGAATGAGGCATTGCAGGGTAATTTATGAAGCCAGCAGGTACAGAAAGACAGAAATTCCTAGAAGTACCCCATCTCAAAGACAAGATCATAGCCATGCCGTCAAAGGTCCTGAGCCAAATAGAGCAGGAAGCTGATCAACATATACCAGAACTGAGTAAGCATACCTCTGCCAGGTAGCAACATTTATTCACATTCAACTTGCGATTCCCAAGAGGGAAAGACAGGCCAGACAGAATACATAAATTTTCTTCCTGTGTATGACAGACAGGAAATTAAGCAACTGCCCATACCATTTAGGAATGAGTATTTTGTTAGGTTTTCTTTTGCACATATCCAAGTGGAATCTGCCAAATGAAAGGAGCGGTGTCAAGCCCAACAGGTTCATTTTATGCTCTGCATCATTAAGCATGAGGCCTATAAAATTATTGTTTTTCCCCCTGCCCCTGATTGCTAGAACTTTTATTGTAACAAATGGCAGAGTGAATACTTTTGCTACCCCATTAGAGTAAAAACCAGCCAATCCCCAAATTGCCCCTTTTATGGTTGTTGTAGCCATCTATTCCTAAAACATAGTTGTTCAAATCTGCTATATTTTGGCGTAAAGTTAGTGAATTTATGACACAGTGGGAATATTGATAATCTGAGACAAAAGACCATTTCAATTCCTCAAGAGATAATGAAAACCTTCAAATCTGTAAAGCTTAAATGTGTTGAGGTTTTTTAAAAAACAAATGAACATCCTCCTTTAAGATTCTTGCTTATGTTACTCTAATTAAGTAAGGGTGGCACTGATTACTTTTATTTTAATATGCAAATACTGTTTCATTTCATCCACGTACCTCCTAAAATATCACCAATTCATTGAGGTTGCTAAAAACTGAAAATAAGGTAGAACTTTGAGTCTCTATCTGTCCCAAACTCCACAGATAGCTCAGACTATGTCTGGATTGTCTCTTCCCATGCATTCTTTTTATAGGTACCTGTGCACTGACAGAAGAGGAAAAAACAAATTACCGTACAAATGGTAGAAGTTGATGATCAGGACAATCCAGAGCAACACATGCACTACAACACACTGATGCTCAACCACTCACAGATTTCTCGATTCACTACAATGGAAGAAAAAATAGCTCTGTACCACCATTTCTTTGCATGCCTGGGACTTATCCTTCAATAAGCTTCTGTATGCAGGGGAACACTATGTATGAACCCACATACTTTAAACAGATCAGTGGAATTATAGGGAAGGAAATTAATGTATTTGCATATTTAAGAAACTCTAGCATGTCTTATTTTTAGAAAATAAAATGCTTCAGTCTTAGTTTTACCACTTTTCCTAATAAAATAGAAACAAGTTATGCCTATAAATTTGGATCTTGCTGTTTGTCCTTATTCAAATTCCTTTTGGTTTTACTGTTCAAGTTACTTTTGCAGTCCTTGTAGTATAGGAATCTTAAAAGCTGTTTACCCTGTATCCTCTTCTGTATGCTCCAGAAACTCTTTTAGACTGGAAAAATGACAAAGTGGAATCATCATTCCAGATGCATTTATTTCATAAAGTCTTCCTGCTCGAACAGAGAAGATGGTTCCCGGGGCCCTTGAACAATACAGTGGGATCCTTCCTGCTTTGCCTTTGAAGAGGAACAGCATGTGTCTTTTGGCTTTTGTGGGCCCACAGAACACAGCATACTTAACATTCAGAGAAACACATTGTGGGTCTAGCCTCATCCTGGGGCTGGCTGGCAGTTCTGTCACCCTGAGTGTCCCAAGAATAAGTGGAATGCTCAAAACTAATTTTGTGTTATTTTAAGATGTTTTCTTAAAACACAAACAGAAATATAAACTGGCTGTTGAGCAGCAGACTTCAGTTAACTTGCTGAGAGACACTCTGTGTGGGTTTGGCTTCACTTTGCAAATATGGATGAACTTTTGAGAACATCTGCATCATAAAGCAAACTACTTTGAACTTGAGGAGTAACAAGCCTCTCTAGTACAGACTTCTACTTCAGTAGTTTGTTAAGATCATGAGTATACTTGTAGATATCTATCTACCTACTTTTCTACATATACAGTACTTTATGTACACATACAGATGCACACTTTATAAAAACAAAGAAGTGTCATGCAGTAAAAATGTCAGTCTTTTTTGTTCCACGCTTACCTTTGGCCAAATGGGCTTTTGAAATACACCAAACTGTAAAGCCCATTTTCCAAAGGAGAAAGTTGTTTGACACTAAAAGCAGCGCTCTTTCATTCAAACGTCCATCAATTATCTGAACAAATAATATTGTTTATGTCCATACAGAAATTTCTCAAGAGAGCTGCAGGGCTCTCTGCTATTTACCTGTATAGCCATTGTGAAGGTTGTCAGGATGCGTGTTTTCATAACTGCTTTAGATGAAGAGGTTTCTGTGAATTCTCAAATTGCTGACAATCATAGGGATACAATGTTTCCCATTGTATTGTATTGCATTGTACGCTTTGCTTCAAATTGCAATCCACAAACCATGTGTAAAAGGCAGTCTCATCAGCTGATACTCTATTTCCTAATAGACTGAGGTTTCTTTTCAGGCAAACTGAATTGCTTTGTCAAATCAAACCAAAGAGGCACTTTATTCACTCCTCTTTTCTTCAGGAGTGGCTTGTCAAATGGTCCTTGTGAAGTTCAAAGGCAAAGCATTGTGAAGACTGCTGTGGACATAGTGTATCTAGATTTCAGTAATAATAAATCATATTTTTAAATTTTATATCCCGCCCATCTTGCTGGGTTTCCCCAGCCACTCTGGGCGGCTTACAACATATATAAAAACACAACAAAGCATCAAACATTAAAAATAAAAATATCCCGTACAAGCAACAAATAAACCAATAAATCAATAGAAACCAATAATAGCAACAACAACAACAACAACAACAACAACAACAAATAGTTTGCAGTTATAACCACCAACCCCAACTAAACATTTAACCAACATCAACCTGACAAAAACAAAACAAAGGAACCAAATTAGAACTGTTTAAAACATTTTAAAACATTTTAGCCAGTTCCCCCAACCCAAGAGTTGTTCCAGCAATGTCCCTCCAGCCTCCCTGGAGCTTCTTTTGGGAAGGACAAAAAGTGGCTTCCAATCAGTGTGAAGGTAAGTGCATCCATGAGTACAACAAAAATACAATTAAAATAACAGTGTCAATGTAAAATAAAATGTACTGTGTATTTTGGGTTTATGGACCACAATAAAGTTCTGTGTGTGTGTGTGTTTAAATAAAAATACAGTGCCATGCATTTTAGCATAATAGGACGGTGGATGTTTACTGTGACCCTTATTGCTAACATAAAAAAGAAGTGAGTGCAAAGACAAAACAATTTTTTTAAAAAAAATACCATGAAGAAATATCATTTTGAGTCACTATTTCCATGAGGGCTAAATATCACATCCGTGGCCCAATGGCACACATTATAAGTCTCTCCAGTGTTTGGGCAATGTCAACCTAGCTGCAATGAACAAGCAGCCAATTAATCATTTAGCTTTAATTTTTGATTTCAATATCCAAGTGCTGTTAGCTTGCTTGGACAAAGGGAAGTGAATGCTTCAGTAAATGGAAAGCCAAATGATTATCCCAGACAAAGCCACTAAAAGAACAAACTTAGTTGATAAACTTTAAAATATACTAAATTTAAAAGATAGAAAACAAATCTTGTATGTATTGGTAACCTTGGAAGGCGTTGGGAGAAGGAAAGACATGGCTTTGGTAATCTTCAGGCAACATTTGTGCTGGGTTTGCAGCTTGATAATCCCCATTGGCAGTCTGGCTCCTTTGTTCTGAAAAAAGGCTTTGGAAAGTAAGGCTTTTGACAAAGTCACCCTTGATATTCTTGCAGACAATCTTTGCTTCTGGCCTGCCCAGGACCTCCCTATACACTGCCTAGGCCTGTGTTCCCGGGAGGTCACTTCAATGCTGCTAACACAGAGTTTGGCTTCACCCCCAGAGGCACACTCCATTGTCTCTCGAGACAGATGCCAGCAATAATACTAGACAATATTAGTAATATCCACAGTTCTTGGAGCAGCTTCTTTAGTTGAACATGCAGCTGTCATCGATCCTCATTGATGTTCCAGAGAATGATGAAAGTTTATATGGGAAGAGACTCCTTCCTGCTCCAATTGGCTACAGTTAGTTCAACAGAAATCAAACAAAAGCATCCGAAATATATTCCTCAGATTCTCCATTCATCATATTCCAGTTCTTAACTGCCAGTGTGTTTCAGGGGGAAGAACTCCAAAAATTATGTTGTTCTAATAGTCAAATTTTTTATCTAGCTTCTCAGTTTAAACCAGTAGCCAGTCTCAGTTTTCAGCTAATAGATATCCTGTAGCTTATTTTATTTATTGTCTTTTTTACCCAAAATAGCTTCCTTCTCTTAGCTCTTCCTCATTTGATTTCTCCCTGCCCCCTGCATTCCACTCATGGCCTTATAGATCTGTGTGTTTATAAATTGTAAGGGTGTTCATATTCTGCTTTCTGCTGCATTCTTTATATTTTTTATAAAGAATTTAACTTATTTATATGGTTAAGCCTGAGCATATTTTTCTGCTTTAGCATGTTCCAATGGTTCATATAGTAGAGTATTAAATTGCCACGAGCGGCATTAAACGTAACAGCTATGTTAAACTTGAATGAAGCAATGCAAATCGAGAACAGATTTCTGAAATGGGCAAGCAAACTTTCTTTGCCGAATCAGACATTCCATTGCAAGAACCAGTCATGTGGCGTTTAAAGCTACTGATAATTTAAAAAATTCTCTTGAAACTACTCACCCAGAAACATAAAAAGAGCTATGATTTCCCTCTTCCCCTCGGGCTGCAGAATTAAAAATCACATCAATATATTTCTGGTGAAGGAGCATTCCAGTAGGGAATTGTAGGACCGCAAGAAGTTGTCCCAGTTGCATTTGTACATAAAGACATTTAAGCACATTCCATGCATTTCAGATTTGAGGGTCCAAAAGGGCATCTGGCTACACTGGCTTTAGAATGAGCCTATTCATTTTGTGGGCCTCCTTTCATTCTGAGTGGCTATTCAGCCCTACCAGCAACCAGTGAGCAAGCAAGCTGTTCAAGGATCTCAAAGTCAGGAAGTACTTGTCAATGTCTTCATCCAGCAACAGATCAGGAGTCACAGTTTTGATTCAGACACTTCCCGATTTGTCACTTCTCCTGTAAATACCACCATTGCAAAAGAAACACAATAAACATTCCTTTTTGTATGCAGGAACCTTGTGGCACTCATCAACAATGTCCCTCCCTCAGTTCTATTTCACCCCACTTTCTACATCTGTTTCCGTGACCATGGATTAAAAGTGCACATTCATGAAAACTCTGAAGTAAAGCTGCAATATTACTTATATTCCTCCCATCCCATGTTTGTTCATGTATCTGAGCATATGTTCTTTCCTTTGCAAATAAACAGAATTAAAAGCAAAACACAAAATCAAAGATGTGCTGTGCATTTGCTCCTTTCCCTCATATCATAAAACTGTAAGGAAGATAAAATTTCTTAGCCTTTTCCAGTTCTGGTTTTCTTCAGCGAACATAGTAATGGAGATTTATAGTGTCTTTCTAAAAATCCAGTTATTTACACAACTACATGTTGTGTAACAGAAGGAAAAGCTAATTAGATTGTAAGGCTGCTGTGTTACCCCTTTGTTTATACCTAACTATTTTATCTTTTTATACCTTTTAGGACACTCCATATTATATAGTGTTACTTCTCAAAAGCAAATCAGCAATGCAAAGAGTGTTCAAAACTGTTCTTGCCAAATCAGTTTAAAATGTACAGGTTTCTTTTCCATAGGCTCACGTGCTGCAGACCCCACGTTTTGAGTTCCAGGAAATACTGTACATTCCATACAGTTAGTTAGCAAAACGAATTTGGAGGGGTCCTTCTCTAAGACAAATGCCCACTTATTGGGGTTGATATTATTCATCCATGTGTGTCACCTAGAATAATGAGGGACTTCCATTGCTCTTTGATGCCAGGGGTTAGCCTGCCTATGATACCAAATAGTAATAAACTACCTTGCATGTGATACCCATCTGTTCAGGTGCCAAGACTTCCACTGCTGGCTGAGAAAGGTAGATATTCCAGTGAGCACAAGGGAGTGTTTTCCCTTTCCGTTATCAGCACTGCAATAGCCCTTGTCAGCTGGATTACCAAAATAGTTACATTTTCACTTGAGTAGAATTATAGTCTCCATCCCAAATGGCTGTTCATAACATCTCATTAGGAAAATAGAGTTGCAAGAGGAAAATGTGGATATCCTCAGGCAGAATAGTGTTAGTGTCAGCTGGAAATAGGGATGGATGAATCTGTCAGTTTCAGTTTCTCACAGTCCCTAATTGTTCAAGTCTTAAGCTCAGTTCTCCAGATTTCTGTTTCATAGAAAAATAGAATGTAGTTTGTGATTATTAGTTTTAAGTCCTCATGAAAATATGTCAGCATTTTAGTGTACATTTGTACGGACGTATGCAACTTTGCCTAATATATACATATGTTCTTTTCTGAAATAGGCATTTTATGTGCACTTTCCCCTAATACAGATTTGGGCTGGGGTATTGTTTGCTGTGGGGGAGGCTGTTGCTGTTACAGTACTGATAACACTTTTTTATCTTTATTTTAGATCTTATGCTAATTAATGTGGAAATCGTTTAATTTGGTTGTGTACTTTTTGATGTCTTTCTTATTTATTATTTACGACTAATTTTGTTATTTTTTGTAATGACATAGTGTGTGTTTTTTAATGTTGTAAGCCTCCTTGAGCATGGTTTGAACTATGGAAAAGTGGTATACAAATAAAATGCATGTGTACACACCATTTAGAGAATTTCATATCTCAAAGGAGACGTGCATTTCCATTCATGCAGTGAACTGGATTTCTCCCCATTGCTAGTTAGAAGTAACCGTTTAGCTAAAACTTAAGTACAGCCACCCTATCATGCCTTTCTTGTGATCACTTTCTCCCCTCAGCCACAACAAACTTAAATCGCCACAGGTGTAGAAAGCAGCTGGAAAGGATTACCTAGTAATCTGTGAAGAATGTAGTACTGTGGCATGCATTCATTCAACTTACTCTCATTTGTGCCACAAAACAAGAGCTTAGAAAGTCGTAGTGTTGCTGGATTCTATTGTAAATGATTTAATAAAAATACATAGTCTCTTGTAGGTGATCATTCTCCCACCTGATGTCACGTGGCAGTAAATCCACTTTCAGCATTTCAACGTCACTTCCGAATTTCCAACAGTCATTTCACATCCATTTTGGTTCAGCCCCCCCCCCCCCCCAGGTTCTGTCAACCTGTGGTCACTGTCAAATGTACCAGAAATTTTGGGTCACTGTGTGCATTAATGGATGCGCAGTGGCTGGGCAAACTAAACAGGCTCAAAGTAGATAGTTTATGCTAAATGTGTTGCATTCAAAAGCGATCTGGGTACATGAGCCATTCAACATAAATTACCGTAGTTGCAATCCAGATGGAGAGGGGTGGGGAAGCACAGGCTAACTTTGACAGGTGGGTGGAGCTATTTGTCCATCACCTGATATAAGTTGTCCTGCAATTGGGCACTGCAGCACAAAGGGCTTTGCTGCTCCAATAACAGCAAGCAGATTCCCCAGCCACTCTGGGCAGCTTCCAACAAAATAGTAAAATACAGTGGTCTGTTAAACATGAAAAGCTTCCCTAAAGAGGGCTGCCTTCAGATGTCTTCTAAAAGTCTGGTAGTTGTTCTTCTCTTTGACATCTGGTGGGAGGGCGTTCCACAGGGTGGGTGCCACTACCGAGAAGGCCCTCTGCCTGGTTCCCTGTAACTTGGCTTCTCGCAGTGAGGGAACCGCCAGAAGGCACTCGGCGCTGGACCTCAGTGTCTGGGCAGAATGATGGGGGTGGAGATGCTCCTTCGGGTATACTGGAATGAGGCCGTTTAGAGCGTTTAAAGGTCAGCACCAACACTTTGAATTGTGCTTGGAAATGTACAAATTGTGCTAACCCCTTTGGAATGGAAACCTCTTGGTGTTATTCGAGAAGTAAGGCACGCTGGAGTGGACCACATTCACCTTAAGCTCCTGATGGTTCCTGTTCAGCCATGTACCTACTTCCCATATGACATCAGGTGTGGGGCAGGTGGCTGTGGTTTGGGGGAAATGAACTTGGGCACCAAACAGGGTAGCCTGGTGAGCTAAATTTGTGCAGCCACCCCTGCACTAAACAACATAGTCTAATCGCTCTGATGGCAGGTGATTCACTGATAACCTGTACCCAGTGAAACAACGTACACTAAGCAGTGGTGCAGCTAGCAATGTCAGACCCTGGATTTACCACCCAGCAAGAAATAACCTCCTGGTTCCAGTGCTGCTGCCGCTTATTGGGATGGGTGAAATGGGGACGAGATTGCAGACGTGCAGGCACACCGCACAAGACAACCCAGGGGTCCTGTGGGTGTTCCTGTGCAGCGCTGACCGCCTTGTCACCTCTCTCCCCACCCCAGGCATTAGCGACACCATTGCTGGGAGGCTGTTGCTATGGCTCCCAAAGATGCTACCTTCATTTTCTCTCTCCCCCCCCCACCTGCAACCATTCCATGCTTAACAATTGCCCTTGCAGTCCTGGTATGTGAGGAAACTTGCTTTTTATTTGCCAATGCTAATAAAAAGAAGAAACACTCTAATCACATGCAGGTCCAGCTTCTGAACTCAAATCATAGCACCACCACCACTATAGCAATAAAGCAGGGCTGTCGCCGCCGATGCTAAATGCATAAGCTTATCAATAAACACCATTTTAATGTAGAAGAAAAATAAAATTAGCCTCTGTAACCATGAACAAATTTGGTTGCCCCTCCCCTTACTATAACATGTGTTTAAAAGTAAGCAAAATGCAAGGATGCTGTGGCAACCAGTGCCAGCCCCGGTGTGCCTTGGCGTGCCCGTGCCAGTCCAGGGACTTGTGGTGAGCCTGTTTGCTGCTGGCCCCATTATCTGCAGCTGGCTTGGGGGTAATCTGGGGAACCCCTGGGCTGCAGGACCTGGATTTTGGCCTAAGATCCAGCCCTAGCTTCATCACTGACTGTAATAGGCAGTGAATCACCCTCTTGAGGCCTGTGCCGGCAGTGTGAGCAGAGTAGTAGCTACTATTTCCGAAGTCATTGTAAAGAAGCTGGGCCATTTTATTTTTATTTTATTTTTAATTGAGTCAGCCAACAGTCTGAACTCCGTTATGGAAAGGATTTTACACATTCTTTTCTAGTTTCCCTGACTTTATGTATCTTTAAAAATAAACTGTGGTGTAACATTACATGCATACTCATCAAGACACTTTTTCCATTCTTGTCCCTTCCAGCAAGATATATTGTTTCTGTGATTTTTTCAGCAACAGATCCATTGCTGCTGCTTTGTTTTGTCTACTCTTCTTGCTCAGAATTATCCCTCAGCTTCATCCTCTTACTTTAACACACACACACATACCTGTCTCTACCTCTTTCACTGGATGCGGGCAAGACCGCAGACCATAATTGTACCATTAACTTCTTCCCTAATCGTCCATGTGACTTCAAATCTGATAACCTTATTTTTTTCCACAAACCAAAACGAGCTCCATGGTTGTTCGTTCTTATTTTTTACTGAGGGGGTGAATCTCTGTTTGCCTTGCTCTTTGTGACTCAATCTCAGGTGACCCTGAAAAGGTCACCTGTAGTCACACTGTAACTTAGAATTGCAATCAGCCTCCACTGGGTATCTCAGTTAAATTCACATTCCTAAGATTTCCTACTCTCTTTCTGCCTAGAGCTGCCTGTCATATTAAATACACAATTCCTTTCAAAAAACAAACAAATCTGTCATTCCTTCCCTGTAATGCCCTAGTTTATTTATTTCATTTCATTTAGTAATTGCTTTCCATTAAACGTGCTGAAGCTTTTCAACAATAAAACCCATGAACAGTAAAACCAGATATAAAAATAATGTCAAGTCCAATACAGATACAGACTGAATAGAAGGGCAGTAGTCAAAGTAGGACTAAGTCCTCGATTGTGTAAACACAAGGATTTCCCATCAGCCGAAATCCTGCCCCTCTTAACTCCCTACATCTGTTCTAGGGGTTTCCCCAAACTCCAGAGCAGATTTGGAGCCAGCACATGCAGGGGAAAGAGAGGGAGGGGAAGTCTTGCTCTGTTAACCACAGCTATTCACTTCGACACCACCCTATATCTCCACTTAAAAGGAAAGGAAGATCTAGTTGTGTCC